TTTCGCATTTTACAATTTTTTACACAAAGTTTTCGCAGTTTTGTACACAGTTTTACAAAGTGTACAAAGTTTTTACAAAGGTTTACGAAGTTTAAAGTGTTTCAGTGTTTAAAAAGTTTACAATTTTAACAACAGTTTACGAAGTTTTGACAAAGTTTGCAAACTTTTTTCAATCTTTACACAGTTGTTGCAGAGTTTTGAAAGTTTACAAAGTTTTAGAATTTCACCAAAGTTTCTACAAAGCTTGCGCAGCTTTTACAAAGTTTACAAAGTATTTACAAAGTTCACAAAGTTCTTACAAAGTTTACAACGGTTTGCAAAGTTTTCAAGTAATAAAGTTTACAAAGTTTTGACACAGATTGAAAAAAACGAAACTTTGTAGAAAGTTTGTAAGCATCAAACACTTTTGTAAAAGCTTTGTAAAAACTTTCAAACTCAATAACTTGGTAACAACTTTGTAAAATTCCAAAACTTGTTCAAAGCTTGATAAATGTCCAAAGCTTTGTTCAGATATCTAAAGGTTCAATACTTTGTAAAAACTTCGTAGTTCCAAAGTTTTGTAAAATTCAATGTACTGTAAGTTTCCAAAACTTTGTGAAGTTTGTTATTTCTATTTTTAAACTCTGTAGACTTTGTTAAAACTTTGTAATGCAAAAACTCGGTAAAACAAGTTGTAATTCCAAAACTTTGTCAAATTTTTGTAAAGATCCAAAACTTTGTAAACACTTTGTAGGAAGTTTGTTTGAAGACCTGCGAAAGCTGTTCAAGAAGAGCTGATCTTTGGATCAGTGAGACTGCTTGCATTTTTTTGTCAAAAAACGGCATTTGGTGCCTGTGCTTTGGGAATTTGTGACTGATGGCTGTAGTGTTTCAGCGTATTGAGGGTGAGAAGAAGGGTCGAATGGTTATTGGTTGTGCAAGTGTTTTAAGACTTGGTCACGGAAACACCAAAACACTTCTTTCATTTTTTCCAAATAACATTGGCGCAAAACACTTCTTGCGAGCAAAAACACTAAACTCAAGCAACTTAACAGCGCCCGGAGTCAGCCATGGCTTTGCAGCTATCGCCGGGTCTTTGTCGATCTTTCCTTCCACAGCTCCGCGGTGGCGGCCCCCCGCCTTCGTAGCCCTGAGTAGGCTTGAGAAAAAAATATCCTCCATGTTCACAATGCAGGGCGACAGCAGCTCGAGCTAGCGCATCTATGCAGTCTTGAATGTCCTCGACCTTGCTGGCAGCTCTGCCCATGTGCATGGCGGAAACGAATTCTGCAAAGTTACGATGCACGGCCAAGTGCTCAAGCATCTTCACAGCGGACCACTGCCTAGGTCTTTCGGAGCCGATGAGGGGGATCCCAAAGCCAACCAGTCGAGCACCGCCACCTGAAGGCGTATCAAGCGTTTCAATAAATGAGCTCCTGGAACACGGGAACGTGCTGCCCGCTTGAAAAACTCCGGGTAAGGCAAAGGGCAAGGCCAAGTAGTCTTTGAACTTAGCGGGGGTGTTTCCGACGTCTCGTTAGAATTCTTCACGATGGAGGCCAAAAGACCCTGCAAACTGCTTCTTGTCTTCAGCACTAAGCGGGGCAATGAATTCAATCAACCAGGAACGTTGATGGAGGCAGCACCAGCACCAGGAAGCTTCCTTTATAGTCTCAGCTGTCCGCTGCCCTTCTGTGCATCAATCAACTGTCCCCGTCTCGGCCGCTGCACTTGCTGTTGCCTTGGCTTTCGCCTTTGCCCTTCTCTTCATCTCCCAAGTGAGCCCCTCGTCTGCGTCCTCCTTGGTCGGCTTGGGCGTGGCTTTGCCTATATGTTTTTGCGCTTGGTGAGGAAGTCCTCCTGATCTCTGAGGTGCCCCAGTGACACTTCTGCCCACTGGGATCCACAGCAGTCTGGAGAAGGGGCTCTCGCCATCCAGCACGTTGGGACTTTGATGGCTCGCTAAGGCAGCCATCAGGGGAGTTTGCTCCAGGCTCAGCTCTCCTGCGAGGATCCGCTCTATCGCCGTTTGATCGAGTTGCAGGAGCCCCAAGCAGGCCCTGGCCCTGGCCAAGTCGTAGCGACCAGCAATCATGGCATCTAGGACCCCTGCAAAGCCAGTCTTGTAGTTGGTGATCCTTGAGCGGAACTCCACCCATGCTGCCTGGGCCCAGCGTCTGCGAGGCTAAATCCTCGAACATCAGCCTCTCCATGTTGTGGTAGATCTCGTCCGGGTGCTCGCTGAAGGTGGCTCGCAGCGCTCTCCTGGCTGCTGCTGTCTTCTTGAGCGCAAAGCCCTCGGAAGAAGATGAGCCCTGAGATGAATCCAACGCCAGCTCCAGCTTCGAAGCTGAATTGACTTTCTTCTTGTCGTTGGCCAACATGGAGACTAGGTCGTGAGGGAAGCAGCTATAGGGTCGCGGGGCTGCGATCCAGACGCACCGCTGCCTTGTTCACCTCGGGCACCCATCTGGCTTTCACGTTCTGGTTCACGAGCTTCTCCATCTGAGCCAGGGTGTGAGAGGGCACACCAGCTTGTAGCGCCGCTTGAACAACACCTTGATCTAGCGAAGGGAACTGCGCCCGCGGGGTCGCTCCCGCAGGCTTGAGGTTTCCGCAGGGCCCCAGGTCTGCCGGTTGCGGGTGCTGCCGGAGGGTCCCGGATCTCTGCATCTTGAGGCCGCTCAACAACTGTTGCAGGCCATCCGACAGCTCGCTGAGCAATCCCTCCACTGCTGGGACTCGATGTTGGAGGTTGACCAAACCAGCAGCGACTTCTCTTAGATCCTGATCTGGTTGAGCCTCCCCCTCCTCGGCTGAAAAGAAGGCAAAGTGCTCGTGGCGCTGGACCACGATGGAATCCCTAACCTCGCTAAAGGTGAGAGCGCAGTCGTCGTAGTCGTCCAAGGGCTGGACATGACTGATCAGGTCGGGATTGAATTGAGGAACCCGACCCAACACTTGAGATTCGACCTGGGTTCCACCTTTTCTCGAGTGTTGGAGGTAGCTGCGAGGACTTCCACCGAAAATCTTCGAAAGCGCCCCGGGCTGCATCTGCCTCTTGCTCACCGTCCTGTGCCATGCTTGGTGTGGGACTGCAACCAAAACCCGCTCTTACTTCCAGCTTGGTGGTGAAAATGATGGGCAAACTCTGAATTAACCTCGCCCTCATCAACAATGTATAGAGAGCTTCCGAGGCGCCTTCAACGGGCGCCTCGCTGGCTGACATCACTGCAGGACAGAGGGCCACTACAAATCGGCAATCGCAATGGCACGCCGCCCTTCATGTTCCGAGGGAAAGCCGCAGAAGATAGAGTCCCCGCAGTCCTCTAAGTGCAGGGTGGCCGCACATGGCGTAGCACTCTTGGCCCTGACGCTGACGACACATTGCGACGCCACATTCGCCCGCATTCTGACGCTGCATGCCCTGACGCCGCAATCCCCCCTGACCCCACATTCCCCGGTGACGCCGCATTGTGACGACACATTCCGTGATGCCACATTCCCCCCGGACTCCACATTCCCCGGTGACGCCGCATTCTGACGACACATTCCGTGACGCCACATTCCGTGACGCCACATTCCCCCTGACGCCGCACTCTGACGCTACATGCCCCGCAAGTCATATTCAGCTCTGGCTTTTTGATGGGTTTGGTCCACTAAAATGGCCCCTGCGCCGAGGGGCCGTTTGAACGAAGAGTGTTTACAGCCCGATAGGCATGGTATCTAATCTATCAAAACCCATCGAACCCCCATAGTTCTCCGGGGTGAGCAACTTTTCATCACAGGTTCATGGAGGAGATCAAACTTTCCAACTGAGTGGCCTTTTTGATGAGGGGATGGGAGTCCCCTCAAAAGCTCCGTCGGAACCTGCGGGCCCTGATGAAGGCAGGCCATCATCCATCAATGTCTTCGGAGGGGAATTCGTCTTCGGGAATGCGTCTTCGGAATTCGTCTTCGGAGGGTCTTCGGGAATGCGTCTTCGGAATTCGTCTTCGTCTGCAGTTGGAAATGTCCTACGCCCCCAGCGGCTGCAATGCTCAAAGTGCTTGACAAGAAGTTTGCACGCTCCCCAGCTGCGGAACACGCGGACCGGAGTGTAGATCTGCCCCGCATAGTCTCGCACGACTACCCACAGCCTTGACGGGAGAGGATTTCGATCCCGTCCGCTTGCTCGATGCCCACCAGCCAGGCACCTGGCAAAGAACAAAGCTCCCTTTTCCTGCGAGGTGGTGGGGGAGTACTCAGCCAAGGAGGGGTGCTTAGAGCCCTTACCTCGGTGATGAGATACCCAGAGTCGCGCGCGAAGTTCCACGCCCTGAGCCTGCCTGAGCCGAAGAGCGAGAGATCCGGGTGTGGGAAGCACTAACGAGGGAGTAGGGCTCTTCCGAGCGACGGTCTTCCGGGTCGCTTTCGGAACTCTTCCTCAGCCCCTTGCGCAAGTCGCCTTGAGCTTGCCCTTCTCTCAAATCACTGATGTCTTCTTCGAGGTCAGTGATGCGCCGCTCGCTCATAGGCGCGCGGGTGGACGGCGCAAGCTCATGCAGCTCGAGCCGAGAACTGGCACCAATCGTCGAAAACATCCAGGGCATATAATTAGGCCAACCCCTACCATTAAAGGCGATCTCCTGTATCCCGCCTGCGATGCATCCAAAACAGTGTCAAAGGGAAGGGAGCAGGATGCCCTTGCTTCAAACCACGCAAGCAAACAAGGAGGGCTCCAGTTCCATTGAAAACCACAGAATCGGTCCAAGCAATCCAGGAGCACGAGCTTGGTGAAAGCAGCCAAGCTCACATAGACCATGCACGCTTGCAGGACAAGAAATGGAAGGCATGCGAGATTGACAACCAAGTAGTCCAACAATGGGCGGGCCGAGGGGGTCCAAGCCCGCACCTTGTGGGAGTACCACAGATTGTTGGTGCAGCCCCAGGTGAAAAACCGTAAAGGACCTGTGACGACTACAGCAATTACAGTACTTTTGAAACTGCTTCACGCAGGCGAATACTGATAAGGTTCAGGCTATCAAAAGATTGCTGTCAGTGTCCTCGTCTGTTCCTCCCACGTTTTCTCCAGTGCAGGGTAGAAAGGCAAAACACGTGCGTTCTGCGGCAATATGCCAACAACATCCAACAACCCACGGAAATAGTATGCAGCACCGCAATGCATAATATCGTACATGTCGGGTCTAGTCAACTTGTTGCTCAGGCCTTTGGCTTCTGATTTCTGTGTCTTCTCTGCTTTCACCAAAGTTCCAGATGCAGCAGCCTGGCCAAAAGAGGACAATAATGGCTTTGAGTACGTCAATAACAACCAAGGGACCTTGTTCTCAGCCTCAACCCAAGCCTCCAAAGCAAATGTGACAAACACAGTGACGTAAACAATGCAAAACTAGCACCGCCCAAAACCCACACGCTGGGGAACACACCTGACAGCTCTTCCTGTCAGAAACCCCAGCTTCACCAATTGCCTGCGTTTACTTCCAAGCTGTTCTCTGGAAGGCAACTGATGAGGTTCAACTTTCATGGCTTGACCTCCCACAACATCTTGGATCTTTGCTGCGCTCGCACGCGCATCAGAACCTACGCGAAGCACGTCAAAGCAAACATTATACAATAGGTTGAATGATGCAAAACCAAACCTTCGAGCCAGCCCGGACAAAACGCTCAATGACTTGTAACCTCACCTGGCAAATGAACAAGCAAAAAGGGGAAACACATAACACATCATTACACTTCTGCAACAAACAGGAGGCCTGTTCAGTACAGAGTCAAGCACCTATAGGGTTACAAGATGGAGGAACAATACCAAATTTAGCCAAAGCCTTCCGAGTCAACTCCAACTTGTCAGCACATGGTGGACGATTCTTCAAAAAGATCCAAACAGTTCCAGATCCGAACCACATGCACTATCAATCCCAATCTCTCCTTGACAAAGCCAAACACGTGCATTCTGCAGGCGGTGGGCCCCTGAAAGTCAAAACCACCAACAAAGGCCTGTTCAACAGGAATGTCCCGGAATGATGGTGATGTGTGGAATATTTGGAGACCAGTGTTGACGTGGCCGTCATCGTAGCTGATGCCATGGTTGTTGGGTTTGGGTTCTGTTGTGGCCAAGTGCGCCTCTCTCCACACCCGTCGTGGTCGACGGTCTTTTTAACTGGTGCCGGTAGAAAACTCAAACCCTGAAGCCAAAGTGTAAACTCTCTCGGCATTAGAGCGATTTCAGGCCTGGTTTACTCACAAACTGCCCGCAGCAATGCTCGGTGAGACAGCTCATTGCACTCAACTTCCCTGTTCATGGACGGTTTCTTGAACTTGGCCCCTCAAAAAAGCCTACTTCCTTTTGAGTCTTCGGAAAGGCAGCAGCATGCAGCGCGCAGCAGCACTTGCGCAAAGCTTATTACACGCCACACAATGATCGCCATGACATGTGTTGAGTTGTTGTGCCTTTCCATGTGGGCCAAGGACCTCACCCCCAAGTTGAGGAAACTTTCGGCAAGCTAGAGATGTGGTTTCTTCAAACCAAAGGCATCCCCTTAGCCGTGCCATGCTGGACCATGGAAGTGCATACGATGACTATGGTACATTGAGTGATCAGCAAACATGGCGAGAAAGCGGAGAAGGTATCGTTGGCACATTCATCCCACTCTGGTTTCAAGACCTTGTTTGATGCAAACTGTCCAAAAATGAAATTTCACAAGCAACTTAGGAGACTGAGTGGCAGGCAGGCCTAAAGTCAAGTGGCACTGTCATATTCTCGCTCAGCTGCTTGTCATCATCTGCTACCTGTCCAGCGCAAAGTATTCCAAGAAATGTGCCAGGCAAAATGTTGAGGTACAGTTTCTAAATTCAAACGCATGCCTCGTGTTCAATCTGGTCGAGGTTGCCCGCTTGGCGGCGACGCGCTTCAGCCGCCTGCAGCACTAGGAAAGCAAAGCCTTTGAACCATAACTTCGGGATGCTTTGGGAACTAGGGTTGGTGAGCATTTTCCAGCAAGTTTAAGCAGGGTTGACAGCTGGGGGCATATCTGTTGGTTGGAGTGGAGAGGTGAGAGCAGGAAAAAATCCTCACAAACTTTGGCGCGGGGTGATTCCCTGATCAATTTTTCGGGGTTCATTCACGCCATCGTTGAATAGCGCTGAGAAATGTTTCACAGACATGTTATCTTATTGTCAATGGTACTTGTAGGATTCAATTGGTTCCGTTGGGTGGGACCAACTTGTGCAAGCGCACGCGCGGCTACAAATGGCCGTGATTATTCACAGCGCTTTGCGCTCGAAGCCGCCTGCAAGTGTGTGTGAGTGTGTGTCTGTCTGTCTCGGTCTGTCTGTCTCAGTCTGTCTGTCTCGGTGTGTTTGTCTCGGTCTGTCAGTCTGTCTGTCTTGGTCGGGCAGGACACGCGGACGAACACACCCACGATGATTTAATGCAGTCTCCCCCGGGCGGCATATCCGGCATCACGAACGTTTGGTCCGAATCCATATCGAATTATCAGCCATTTTCAAAAACTGCAAAGCACGACATTTCTTATCTATAAATAAGCACCGCCTGGCTAAAGCTAAGGATTAATCCAGAAGGATTATCACGGCTTACGCGATACATCCACAACGCCTCGGCACCTTCGGTGCGGGCAGATTTTTGGATGAATGCAGAACGATGTTTTGATAGGCAGGCGCCTTGTATTGAGAGTGTTTTTGTTTTTCTGTTGTTTTTTTATACCTTCCGGGGCCCCTTTGAAGCTAAATCCGCATGCGCGCAAGCTTTGCAACAATCCAGTACCTTGACGATCCATGGGCGCCGATGTTTGGGTGAGGTTGGTTCAGCCTGTTTTGCAGGGCTGCGTGAAGGGGCAATCCATTTGGGCCTGTTGGCTGGCCACCTACCACCCACCACAACCATGGAAGCTAGAAAACCCACGCAGCAACAAGTACGGCAAAAAGGTTTCGCAAGCCACGGGGAAGACACCCACACACCGGATGTGTATTGCACTGTAGTGTAATGTATGAAGTGTATGTATGTATGCATGCATGCATGTATGTACGGATGGATGGATGGATGGACGGACGGACGTGTTTTGCCCGGAAAGATTAATCAGAAACCCGGTCACCCTCTTCAGACAGCTTTTGCATTCGACACAGCGCATCTTCTTGTTGCCCTTCCTCCAAAGTTTATGAATGGGCACCCCCGTCAGTGTCAGCTCGCACATTGGAGCTGCAACTCAAATGAGTGATCCTACACCTCCTCATTTTCCTGCTGAGAGACTACTTTTTGCTGGACTTGATGTCGCCCTCAACTGATTTCCTGCGTGAGCATGCTGGTCACATCTGTGAATGCTGGTAGGCGCCCTGCGTGTTTGCACCATCGACAAAGAAGCCCCTTGCCTTTTGTGTCCTGCGCCCATTGGCATTCTTAACCTTCGCATTCTTAAGCTCATCGAAAGCTGTTTCCTTCCTCTGCCGTGCTTGCGTGCGCTTTTTTCCGGTGGTTCCCCCTCGCGAGTGAACTTGTCACTGTCATCTAACAAGTGCTTCACGCCCCGAGGGACACAATTTCCTGGTATCCCCTGACCTGAGCTGGTGTTCGAGCTGAACGAAAATTAATCTTGACGTCCTTGTCCAAATTGGCAGGGCCTCTTGGCAGGGTGTTGGCCATCCAGAAGTCGTGATCTCTCCAAGCCTCGTGACCCCTCCCTGCAAGCCATGGTGAAGAACTGCCACAACGTGGAGCTGCAAAAATCCTTGGGGCCAAAACCCTAAGTTCATTTCACGCTGGAGCTCAAAGCCAAAGTCCGCCGCCAACTCGTTTACCTTGAAGGTCGTGAGGCAGCGCCGCGCGTGCCCTCCTGTAGCTGCTGTCGGTGCCAGTGGCGCTGGTGGATTTTATCCTCAACAGCAGGAAAAGGCCGAAAAGGATTGCGCCGAAAGTACGGACACCTGGCGTGCTTGCGTAAAACGCTGACACGGCGAATAAAGCAAAGGTCCATTCGGCGGGATGGAAAATACTGCAATGGTATGATGCAGGCTGTCAAAGCATCAACACGATTAGGTGAATCCTCACACCATACAAAAAAACAAACAAATCCCCCGGTCAAGTTCTTTTTGGTACCCTCTGTATTTTGATAGGCAAAAATCTGACACTCATAGAATTCCTAAGTTTTTTCTGGCGAAGGCATTGTATCCCTCCATGAGGCAAGCAGTCGGCGCAACAAGATTTCAATCTTGGAGATGAATGTCCCTACGGTGATTTTCTGGAAAACAAACACCCTGTAGAAGAAAACATCCTGTTCTCCCTTATGCCGAAACCCATCCAACCAACCATCCACATCTATACTATGTACAGGTCATCCTTTATCATCTCTTTACATCTAGCCACACCTACTTCACCACTTCACCATCTATAATTTTCAACAGCAAAGCAACTTGGGCCCTTCTATTCGACCAGAAACCAATAGTATAAACTGCAGCAGACTTTTCAATGATGTACGCATAAAGTTGCCCAATAAACACGGATTTCAAACTACACACACAATACATGCAACTCAGATTCGTAAAACCTCTCACCGCCGAATCCAGAATTTATGAAGCAAACGTATCCTATGCAATTGCTGTAATGACTATATTGATGTCAGTCCGGCTCAGTTTGGCCTAACATGGAAGCGTGCTGCTTTATGCTTTGGGGTTGGCCTTGTATAATATACAAGACTGTTCTCAGGACCCAGAGACCAAAGGTAATTTGTTGTCCTCCCGTGGAAACCGCAAAAAAAACAAACGAATGCAACAAATGCTGCTAGCATGGCGTTCTACGCCATTGAACCACTACAAACTGCAAACAGCACAGGGCCGCCGAAAAAGAGAGTCCCGCTATCCATAAACTGTGTCCATTCATCCATCCATCGACCTACCTCTACAAGTGACTTGAATGTCAACCATCGACCAGAAACTCTCCATGCATGGTCCTTTACATCTCGCCAAGGCTACTTCACCATCTGACTATGTCTCTAACTCTCCACCTCTTCAGCTATTCTCTCTGTTTTGTTGTCTCTCTGACATTCCCTTCCCTTCTATCCATGCGTCCATTTGGTCATTTGACCGTCAAACGACGCTGGCCATCGACCTGCCTGTGGCTGCCAAACCGTCAACCAGAAACGCTTCATGCATATTTACTACTGGTATCTACTGGTAATCTTTTTGTGTCTGGCCACAGCTACTTCAACATCTCACTATGTCTCTATCCCTCCGCCTCTTCTGCTTGTCCCTCCCTCCCTCCCTTCCCCCCCTCCCTCTGTATCTGTAGGGTCCTAAGTCCCCCTAGGCGTGTCTATGCTATACGTGTGTAGCACCTGTTGTTCGTAGTTTGATCTTGTATATACCTCTTCAGTCAGCTACCGCTGTAATTCATTCGGCTCAAGACTTTGAAGCCCAATACTGCACTCCGTGCCATCGAAAAGGTGCACACTCTCACTTGTCATTGGGTCTTACTTGGTGTCTTCGATCAGGTCCAGTATACTCTACTGCCACCTTGGAGGAACTTACCCCTCAAAGTGGTAGCGGAGCTTGTGTCTCCTGCTTCGCCACGGTCGAGTTTGCTTCGTGCAGGTTCGTCCGATATTCCGGACAGGGTAGCCCATCATGCAATCTGAAGAGTAGTGACCATGCATGGTCCAGATCTTTAACATAGATACGGACAACGAATCAGACTACGGTTCGAGGTAGCGTTCCCAGCAGTCCTCAGGTTCGACATTCCGGACCCATGAAACACAACCAGCACCAGGTGTCAAAATGACGCCAAAGATTCACCCGTCCTTCGATGGACAGTCATCTTGGTTCGAATTCGAAGATTTGATTGATGACTGGGTAAACATAACTACCCTATCCGCTGAAAAGCTTGGTCCTTCGCTCAAGAATGCATTGACCGGAAACGCGGAGTATTACAAGAATATGCTCGACAATGAGCAGCTTCGTAACGAAAGAAACGGCATTACGTACTTTAAGGAAACGTTACGACCATACTTTGTCAAGGGAGCAAATCATGTTTTTCTCTGGCGTTTCATGCAGCTCTTCAGGACCTAGCGCGAAAACGGGGAATTTGTCAGTTGGATCGCACGATTTGAAGTAGCAAGCAAGAAAGTCATGGAAGCCTACATGGGCCTATTAGATCTTTCAACTGTTCCACAGCCTGACGATTTCAACTTCACTGATACCCTCTCGCAACAGCAGTACTTACTACTTCAAGGACTTCAGGGTCCCGCAGAGAGAAGAGAAAATGCAGAAAGAATTCGTTCTGAACACATTGATGCCATCAAACAAGCACATCGTGATACATTTCCACTGTCAGAAAACTTGACGTCGCTTATTTTCTTAGTTCAGTCCGACCTCAATGAACAGCAAAGAGAAAGGTTTGTAGCCAGCATGGCCTGAACATGAACAACTACACATACTTATATAGGTGTTAAAGGCTTATTCCTTGATCTCTTTTGCGGAACCGCCACAGGAACTGCCGATCCTTCGATCCGCAGGCAGAGAAGATCAACTTTCCTTGTTCTCGATGAGGGAGACTTGGGGGAAGAATCCGGATACTGGGTGATGGATCAGGATACAGGCGAAGAAGGATTTGTATCCCCGTTGGAATTAGAGGGGTGATCCTGGCCTAGGGATTTTGTAGAAAATGGTTTCTACAGAATGAGGGTGTGCAGACACGCGTCTACAGATTAACTGGCTCAGCAAGTTGACGGTCTACAAAATGAATGGTCTGGAGACAATAAAAAACACACAATCTCTACAAAATGGGAATCAGCCATCACAGAATCAAGGAATATAGGCAGGAAAAAACATAGAAACAAATCTCTACAAAATGAGAATCAGGGTTCCATATGTCATAAGAATCCATGACCAAAAAAATGAAAAAACTTCAAAAAAT